AGAGAGAGAGAGAGAGAGAGAGAGAGAGAGAGAGAGAGAGAGAGAGAGAGACAGACAGACAGACAGACAGACAGACAGACAGACACACACACACACACACACACACACACACACAGAGAAAGAGACAGAGGCAGAGACAGACAGATACAAAGTGACAGAGAGACAATTAACCAAATGAAACCAAAAACCCATACACGTCCGTTTGAACCTCATGGAATAATAATCAAATCTATACCCCCCCCCCCCCCCTCCCTCCCTCTCTCTCCCCTCAGAAAAACCTTTGCCCGACTCCGAAGACAACTACGACAAGAATCTCTTCTGGACCGTGGTGGGGATCCTCATCGCCGTTATCCTCATCCAGTTCTTCATCCTGGCCTTCTGTCTTTGCCGGAACAGAAACAACGCGCATTCGGGCAAAGACGCTAACGTGTACAGCAACGGCGCCTTCAACGCTAAAGACGTTCCTTCGTGATGACCATGATGACGTCAAAAACCATATTGTGTCACAACGCGGTGGAATCAGACGCTCGTCAATTTTTGAGCATGTAGAGTTATTGGTACTATCTTAAAGCTTGCTCAGTTGTCTTGCTATAGGTGAAAAAATGTCCACCTATCTTGAATAGAAGTCAAGATATTTGAGATTGAAGAAGGTGAGGTCGCCTGGTTTCAAAGGTAGAATTAGCGAGAAAATGGCCGCCAACGTTGGGTTATTTCTATAGCTTGAAAGTCCGTGGAAACTTAAAACTTACATTTTTTTGTGGCATTAAAAAACCTTTTTCCAGTAAAACCCACCCAGAAATGTGTTCTCAATTGGACAACAGTATTGTTAAACAACAACAACAACAACAACATCAACAACAACAACAAAAATTCGATAAACATTGGCATACTTTCAGAAAAATGCCAGTTTCTTCAATTTCATTATTTTGACGAACGCTTTATTTCACCACGATGCCTTACATAATTATTTTCCAGCACGTCACACACAGTATGCAATGCCTCTCTGATTCATTCCGCACTTTGTATTGTAAGAACAGAACTAAGCTGACTTAATTCTGTATTGTCGAGACTAGTGCTTGCCAACCTGGGCAATATAGCCAACTTGTGGTGGACGGCCGGGATCTGCCGGGGAGTGACAGCCAATGAAAGACCCATTTCATAATAATAATGATAATAATAATAATAATAATAATAATAATAATAATAATAATAATAATTAAAAGGGTGATAATTTTTTATAAAAAATAGAACAGTGATGATGATGATAATAATAATTCTACTATATAATAATAAAAGTAATAACAATGATATAATTTTTTTTAAATTAAAAAAACAATAATAATGATGATGATGATGATGATGATGATGATGATGATGATGATGATGATGATGATTGTGTTTCTTTAGCTTTTAGAGTGACGTAAGACCACAGATTGAAATGAAAAAAAATTATATCGAGCTCGTTTCGGTACATTTTTGTAGTAAATTTCTCGGAATCAGAATGAAAAGGAAAGGAATTTCACCGCGCTCTGTTGTCTTGTGCGTTGATCCCCGACCCTTTGCATGCTAAGACGATCCCGACCCTTATAACGCTTACAAGGATAATAATATGATTTCTATACACTTTACTTTTACCAACATTCGGAATGATCCAATTTTTTAATGAGCAAAATTCATTAGAAACGAAGGAAAACGCAAAAAGAAAGCAGTTCTTTTAATTCTTCGTCTCTAATCGTCCTGGTAATTTCTCTCTGTGAAATGAATAACGATTTTCATTGTCATTGTCAATGTAATGCCAGAATTATATGTTGGTTTATTAAGTCAATCCTGAGATGTATCACGTCTACACACTCTGTTACAGTTCTGGTGATTAAACCTATAAATTTGTGTGTTTTGTATTTGTATGTGTGTGTGTGGTGTATATGTGAGAGTATGTGTGTGCGCGCACGCGTGTGTGTGCATGTGTGTGTGTGTGTGTCTGTGTGTGTGTGTGTCTGTGTGTGTGTGTGTGTGTCTCTGTGTG